TACAACTCATATCATTATAGGTACCATTTATTACTGTAAATATAATTTGCATCAAAAATGACATTTATTATTCAGCTAGAAAGTATTTCAGCTTACAAAAATGTAATGATTTGTTTGTTTATTTAATATTACAGTTAACATTGATTTAATATTACAGTTAATATTCATTTAACATTAGAACTATGCATATATACTTTAAAATAACAATAGAATAGTCTTGAAATAGTTCTAATTTTTGAGCACTAAAAATTCTTAGCGATCGATCACAGAATAGACCTCCACATAGCTATAATAAGTTCTTGGCATTTATAGCAAGAAAAAGTTCTGCAATACCATAAAGCGAAAGGGCAATTGAAGAGATAAGCTCGGTAATGCTATACTAGGTCTATCTACTAGCTATGACTTGTAGATTAATAACTTCAACACGTAAAATAAATTTCAAAACGTGCTGACTGCTGCTAGACTTCAAAAAGAACCATATTACTATAGTTAAATTACCGTCCATACTATGGATGCTAATTTTCAAATTATAAATCCGAGATAAAATTATACGGAATAGATTTTTTTTTTATTAATTTACTTTACTATATTTTGTTTTATACCTTTATAACATTTGTATTTAAATATTGTGTATTAAAATTTTACTCTTATCCTGTCTTCTTTTAATTTATCTTATGTGCAGCGCATATCAAAAAAAAAAATAAGGAGGGTTAGACATATCCGTCAAACCCTCCCTTCAACATATTCTACAAAACTGAATGGAGTTTTAATATTAATTTTTAAAACAGTAACGGAGCTAGACCAACTCTAGGCGTCGGTGAAATTAAAATCGCGAGGCCCTTTGCATTACCGACTTACAAAAGTAAATAATTTATATTTACTTTTTCATTTTATTTTATTAATATTCAATTTAAAAGAAACACATATTAAAATTAATGAATATTCCAACTGTTAGCCTCACTGAATTGTTTAAATTTTTAAAGTTTTTTATATTATAATTTACACCAACTGATAGTTTCACTTCAATTAATAAAATTGTCAATGCAGATAGTCACTCTTGACTCATTGTACTTCTCAAATAAATCTTATTCAATTTTCACTTTGAGAAGCTTATTTCAGCAGAAGATGTGCTGACTGAAACTGTGTTGCTTTATATCGTTGATTGAGCCTAGTGAGTTCGATTTTAAAAGTAGCAGTTTCTTATACCATTCAAAAGACTGAATGTCGCAGCTTTCACCTTCCCGAATTATTATAGCTGAAACATTGCAATACTTGAGAAAGTCTTCGTTTCGTATACTTTCCATATGACTACTGTCATATATGAAACCAAATTGTTCAAAATACCCATTAAGTACTTAAATCAGCAGTCGCTATCAATTACAATAACTTGATTTAAAACTGAATGAAATTTGCATGGAAGCCAACAAAAATCCAATTGTGTACGAAAAAAAACCAGCACCGTCTCTCATATCTGCAAATGTCGCTATTCCACATAAGACTTCGCATAAATTTCGCGCATTCATGCAGCTGATAGAAGTTTTAAAAAACTTCTCATAATAATAGATCTGTTCCACGAACTACTCGTAGTAAAACTCAACTAAAACACAAGTAAAGTACAAACTGAGAGCATAACACAAATAAAGTGCCAAATTACGCTCTTTACACAGCTTATCATAAAAAACATTTGTGTAAAATCTTGTGAGAACACAAAATGCCGCGCAAATAAACAATACTAAAATTTAAATTCAAACCAAAACAGCTGATTCACATATCACAAAAATTTTACTTGAAATAAAATTGTATACGTCGGTGTAGCATTTTCAAATTTCTACAGGGATGTTACACTCTTTCAGATGCCCTCATTTACTCGAAAAGTTGCTGGTGGAACTTACTTGTGTATACATTGTGTTATTCAAAGTTACTACGAGTACCTCGTGGAACAGATCTAGTATATTGCACACAAAAAATTATATATATAATTAATATATTAAATCATGTATATATATATATATATATATATATTATATATAATTTACATATTCAACTAATAAAAACAAAGATTTTATTAAATACATTCAAACCCACCTTACTTTAACAGAAATCTTAACTTCGTGTTCGTTTCAGCGAATTTAAGTGCTTTTTTCCATACAAACCTCAGTTTTAAGGATTCAACGAAATTAAGAAAAATAGACTTAATTTCGTTGAAACGAAAGCTGAAATTAAGAAAAATTTTAAGTGCAACATAACATACGAAAGATAAATTTTAAGCAAAAGATGAATTGAGATAACGAAAAATCCACATTTATTTTTAAAAACAGCTGACTTTTATGAAACCGGAAAATTATTTTAAAAGTAATACGAATTTTAGAAATTGAGTTTAATCATATCTTAAATGATTTCTTTCTTTAGTTGAATCACTTTATAGTTAATAAATAGTTATATACATACTCAAGTAAGTTGCGATAGATTGCATTATTTCTTCTGCCCTAGATTTTATATTAACAAGAATGGGTAGTTGCTCAGGCTTTTATCCATTTCTTCAGTTTATTTAACCATTGTGCATTAATGTGGTCGTTTTTTTTTTATTAAAAAATTGTGCAACATTCAACAAAAACCTTCCTATTCGTCAAAAACGATGTTTTGAATAACCAAATGCATTTTCTGAAACACTTCCACATTTTGAAAGTTTGTAATTATAATTTTTTTTAACTGGCAGTATATCAGCATCATATGGATAAAGTTTCATTAAAATTTGGATTAGCCTAAATGCCATAAATGTTATTACATACTATTATATATATTATTATACTATTATAAACTATTGTATACTATTATATATCAAAATTGCACTTGTTTCTCTTATTTAATATGTCGCAAACATCTTTTTCAATTTGAATGTTTCATATATTTTTAAACCATAACAGTTTCCAGAAATTTCCACATTAATGTACGTGAAACAGTTACTGGTAACTGTTATAAATTTAAAATTGATTGAAAAATAATAATCCACACACCTGAAATTCACTAAAACTAATAAAACTAATGAATACCATTCTTTATAGTTATAATAATCAACTTTTAAAATTTCGTAGATACAAATGATGTTTTAAACGTGCAATTTTTAACAATCGAAATGTAAACAAAATACATGATTTCCTTAATTTGAGGCAATATGAACACTTTCCAATAAAACTTAATTTCATTTTAATGAAATTAAAAAAATTTGCCTCTCTCGACATTGTAATTTCCTTAGTGCCTTTGTTTACAGCTCAGCTGTTGTTTGTTTACTTTTTACATATGAACTATATGACGAATGTTTTAACTTTTGCTAATTTCTCCTGTGGGAAATTTATTTTTAAGAGCAGCATTTCACATTTTTCGATAATTAGCTTATTTATGTCAAAAATTTTTGTATGGTAAATCATTCTCATTAGTGGCTATAATGAGCAAAACCGCCTAATGAGTGTAAACTTTATTACTGACTTTATTACTCTATTATTTTACGTAAGTTGAAAAGCATGGAACCTCTTTATATGGTTTATGAAATGTACTTTGTAAGTTACTTTTACGCAGTGGAAACAAAGTACACTATAGCTACGTTTAGGTACTACATAAAGCAACATAATATATAAAGGAGTAAATACACTCTAAATACACTCAAAACAGCTAGAAGCTCTCGATAACGTTGACTAGATCTGCTCTCAAGTATAAATAACCATTATGAAATGCATCAGAAAACTAACTACATTATTCCTAAAGAAAATAAATCGAACTGCAAACTCTTTGGATCCCACAATCAACTGGTATAATTCTGTTCACCTCCGTAGTAAGATCTCGGTTGAGAATAGTATTGCAATGATGAAATTCAAGTCACAGAATAGAATAATTGTAGAGAAAATAAGTTTTATATAGTTTTTATGCTCGATGCGATATTAAAGATTAAATGATGATAATGATAATAATAACATAGAGTTATTTAGTTTTCAGTATATATTTAAACTAATGCACGATTATTATGTTTACACGACTCTTAAATTTATTTCATTTTGACATATTTTCCGCAGACGAAATTAGAAAATTTTCAATTAAAACTCAATGGTAAAACTGCAAATATTATTTTGTGCCAAATCAGTTCTTATACTAAACTAAACTAAACATTTAACTAAAACTAAACCGTAGCGAACGTAAAATAACTGAACAACAGAACGCAGAAAAAACGATTAATTATAACAGATTATACAAAAAGCGAAGGTAGTATAGCACCATAAACAACACATGTTCAATTCGATCACCAAATACTTCTTACAAACACTACTGAGTATGATTTACCATATAAAAATCTTTCATATAAATGAGCTAATTATCAATAAATGAGCTTATTTAAGGCAAAAATTGTTAAATGCAACCCATAAAAATAAATTCCCACAAGGGAAATTAGTAAAAGTTGTAATATTTGTCATATTTGTAAAATGTAAACAAATAACAGCTGAGCTGTAAACAAAGGCACTGAGGGAGCAAGTTATTAATGAAATTTTTATTGATATTAATTAATTGTGTAATTGATATCTAAAATGTGTTTAAATGATTTAATATATATGCATAGAAGTTCTATCAGCGGCGTAAATGAGTTCATTATAATATGTATATGCAAATACTTAAATTAGACAGTGTGAATGTACTATAAGATTCCTTTTGCGTTCACGTCCAGATACCAAATTTCAGTCCCCGAAACACGGTTAATCGAATTTTACGAATAATGTAATACATTATTCATGGGTCAGCAGTTGTTTAGCAATACTTGAAAGCGATGTTGTTTTTCGAAACAGAATACAAAATTGCAACACTGGATAAAATATACATATATCTTGCCAGCACCATATGTCAAAAGTTTTGTTTTCCCTCAAAGCCGTATGTGAAAGTGTCGTGCTTGCTTAAGTTATAAATTTATATTTAAATAACTGAATAAGATTTTAATAGACTAAGATAATATTTAATAAAAACCGCACTATTTTTTTGACTAAAACTAATTGTGTAAAGATTTGTTTTAAACGTTCGCATAAATGATCTGTTGGATTTTATGGTGAAAACAAATAGAAAGCCGAACATTGAAAGTTTTGTTTTAAATGCGTATATATAATAATATATAAACAAAATGACAACACCGGAGATAAAATATGTGACGGAGGTGCCAAACAGTTTAAAACAATTAGCACGGCTCGTTGCTCGACGATTCTATTCAATAGATGATTCACTTATAATTGATATGTTAGTTCGAAATGTTTGTATGAAGGAAGACGATTTAGTCGAGTTATTACGTTTTGATAAAAAGCAATTACGTTCTCGAATACTTATCTTGCGAAATGACAAGTTCATACAAATGCGTTTAAAGATGGAAACCGGCCCAGATGGAAAAGCTCAAAAAGTAAATTATTACTTCGTAAATTATAAAAGTTTTGTCAATGTTGTAAAATATAAACTGGATATTATGCGTAGACGTATGGAAAAGGAGGAGCGTGACGCAACAAGTAGAGCTAATTTCAAATGCATAACTTGCTATAAAACTTTTACCGATCTGGAAGCAGATAAACTATTTGACATGGTATCTCTAGAATTTCGCTGCACACATTGTGGGGACGCTGTAGAAGAGGACAGCTCAGCCATGCTAAAAATCGACTCAAAACTAATGTTAGCAAGATTTAACGATCAACTAAAGCCAATGTACGAATTACTTCGAACAGTAGAGGGTATAACATTGGCTCCAGAAATTCTGGAGCCAGAACCTGTGGATATAAATATAATACGAGGGTAATTATTAAAACATTATTTAAAGATCTTGTTTATAACGTGAAATACTTTCAGTGTTATGAAATTTCAGCAAATGGATATTCGGCAATGGTCTGGTGAAGCTACTCGTAATCAAGGGTTTTCTGTTGAAGAAAAAATTTGTATAAATCTAAAAGAAGAGTGGGTTGAAACTACTTCTGAAAAAAAATCTCGACCAATTTGGATGACAGAAAGTACAATTGTACAGAAAAGTACAAATGATGATTTGATTATTGCTGACGCAGTTATAAATGATTCATTACAACCACCGGTGCTTCAAACAACAATAACATCAAGTGAAAAATCTTATAACGGAAATAAAAAAGAAGTAGAAGATACTATGGCTTTGTTACTTTTATATGAAAAACAGCGCGATCAAAAAGATCAATTTTCGAAAGATCTGAAATTTGGCTCCCCAAATCATAATTCACTTGATTCCTTTGATGATGACAGAGACATTGAAAACACAGAAATCCGTAAATATGTTTCTTATTCTTTATAAAGTCGATCTATTTAAAATATATTTTGTTACAGCTGATATTGAACAAAACTTTATTGATTCTAATTCCGAAGATGATGTGCCCAGTGTTTTAGCTGGTGGCAAATCGTACCCAATAGACAAAATTAATGATGAGATAATTGCGCATATGACAGAGCAGGAAAAAGAACATTACATACACGTTTATCAAGAACAATTCAGCGATATATATTATTAAGGAGTAAATCTATTAATGCATTTCAAAAGTATCACGTTATTTTTATACGCTGAAGATATTACATAGATGTCTCTATGAATCGCAGCATACATTATGGAATAGCACTATCGTAGGTAGGTGACTTAACAAAAAGCCACACTTATAGGATAATAACATATCTTAATTTAGAATGCTATTGAAATATTCTATTTATTACTGCAACAATATTGTAAATAAGATGTATTTAATAATTATTATAACATAAATTTTAATACAGAAATATATTAATTTCGATTATAAATAAAAAAAATTCATGTAATTCAAATTTTTGTAACTTCTAGGTTGTCTAGAACAAAGAAATACCAACATTTTTCTTTAGTAGATAATTGAATTTATCAATGATATGTTATCAATAATATATCAATAAAGCAATGAATTTAAAAACACAAGAAAAGAAGTTGTTAAGAGGTGAATAACAGAAGTCCACCACTAATTTGACGTTTGAGTGTCAATTGGTTCTTTTATCCGACACAACCTATCACTTGCGAAATGTGGATTAAGGGAAGATGTTTAGTGTAAATTGTGTAATTTTTAAAAAATGAACGAAATAAATAAATTAAATATTATTTTGTATCTACAGTACACTGAGATTATTTAATTGACTGTGTACAACACCGTGTCGGAACAATATACTATATGCGACCTTGTTAATAGTTAGAATTTTGACAGAGCCATGTTTTCGATTTATTGCAGATTTATTGCAAGATTACAAACAAATAAAATATCTATTATTATGTTGAGGGAAGTTGAGTCAGTGCACCTGAGCACTTTTACTCTCTATTAACTGCGAGGTTTCTTCAAAACCCCTCTTTGATCTGCATACCTCCCCGAGGAGCCTGTAACCATTCTGAGATTTGATAATGCGGTGTTAGTAAGTCTGTCAGATTTCGCAAATAATTTCAAGGCTCTATCCTTTATGTATTTTTTGATGAGATCAATCTTGAGGTCCCTAAGGATGTCATTCGTCCTAATATACCAAGGAACTTTGAAAAGTCTTCTCAGAGCCTGGCTTTGTGCTATGCATTTATTATACTAGTTATCAACGTCACCGCATGCTCTTTCTTTGCGCAGAGGTGCTGACGGCAATAGCATTCTTTCTTATAATGTTCATCCCATCTATTCCACAGCTTACTCCAACAATACAACGTGATTTGAACATTTGCAAGTCAAAAGATTTTCTTTGTGTTGGGAATCAGCTGATAAAATGTTTTCATAGATTTCTGCTCACAATTCTAATTGTTCTGTTGCTGATATGACGATTTCGCCGTTAGCCTTCTTGAGGCTACTTGATATGGTGCTGTTATTTACTAATTTCCTAATGAGCTACGATGAGATTCTAACCATGAATGTGCTTCGGCAGCTATATTATTGGTCCACTTTCGTTTATTCCGGAGGGCACTGCGTTTAAGGTTTTGATCCACTGTACGGAATGTGCTATTACCTATCAAAAATTGATTCGTAATTTATATATGAAGTTCCGTGGTCAGTTGACATTGTCCAGTAATAAAGCTGTACCTAATTCTTTATAAATATGAAAATATATTATGTTAATATTTTACTTAATAATATTGTTGTTGTGGTTTGAGTTATTGCTATTGCGCACCTTTACTCTTTTGTGGCTGGGGGTCTTATCCCTGCCCCATACTAAACTTTAACTATACTAAAATTATTATCATTTATTTATCTTTTAACTGCTGACGAACCGTAGATCGTCATAGTCACTATCCGCATTAGGTTGAAATTGCAGCTCCAATGAATCTGCAAAGGTCTCGGCTTTGGCTATGTCTGTGAGAGCCTGCCGGTCGCTCCATGAGTAAGCGGCACTTTCGGTTTATGTTTAAACCTAAAGTACTTATTCAAAGCCCAGAAGGTTTTGTCACCTGTATCAATTCCTGACAAAAATTCGCACCAATTTTCATTACTGTGATAGCTAATTTTTTTTCTGATCTCGTTGGAGAGGCGATTGGCTTCTCTTCTGCTTATCGGGTCTCCAATTATTTGTCCAAATTTTCAAATCGCATTTCGCCGCCTGATGATTTGTTTGATGTACTGCGGCAGGTAGAGGTAACTACTTGGTTTTGGTGGTGGAGCCATTATCGAAGGCCTACAGACCACAAGGTCCTCAGTAGTTTCTGGACAATTGTTTATACTTTCAACATCAAACTGGTTCTTAAATGCGCCCCAGTCGGTGGTTACGTACGTGGCATTCATCTTGTTTACTGGACAGTTTTCAAGAATGAAAAGGACTGGTTTGTGATCCGAGTTTAGTTCATCAATGACCTCTATGTGCACGTTCGGCTTCTGGTTGCTTGATATGGCGAAATCAATCACGTTGCCAAAAGTGTTCTGTGATAAGCCCGTCAATATCCCTGCCAGTTCTATTTGAACTTCTGTCACCTCAGCTACTATGGTATGCGTTCATGTCGCCCATTAGGAAAATTGATGTGTCGTTGTTGAGGAGAGACTCGAGCACATTTGGGAGCATTTGAAAGCTAGGCCTGTATGCTGATACCAAATTTATAGAAGTATTTTTAAAAAATTTATACTTCCACAGTATTCATGAATAATTATTATTATTATATTTTAGAGAAGCAGGATATACACATGTACACATTTACTGCAATAACACATCAAGGTGTATAAGTTCAGAACGTCGCATTGTTAAAATTTTATTTTCTTAAATTATCTTCTATGCCCTAAATAAAGAACTAATCAATGACTTATTCTGAGTGCTTGTTATATTATAAACTAAACACTTTATTGTTTATTTAAAAATTGATACTACCTGAATTCTTAATAAAACCTATTGTCTTCAATAAAGACATATTTTAAGCAGTAGTAAACTGCAACAACAAAATTTTATTATTTTTTTAATTTATTGAATTTTTAGCTGACCATACTGCCAAATGCCTATCATCAGTAGTCTTGGAAATATTTCTTATATTTAAATATACTTAAATAATTGAGACTAAGTTCGTACCCTGCCAAATTTGAAAGTCAGAGTAAGCGTCCATTAGCCAACTAATCCAAAACCGTACTTGTATTGTATGTATGAACTTGAAGTTTTGTTGATTTGGTGTGAAAGTTTATTAACAAATTCACTTCAGTGAAAATTCACTGATCAGTGGTCTTGGAATTATTTCTTATATTTAATTATTCGTAATAATTTACTGAGACTGCAAGTACCAAGGGGTGAACTCATATCCTGCCAAACTTTAAGCGTAGAGTCAGTGTTCATTAACCAACTGATTTATCAAATAAAAAAAAGATATCTTTACATGTACTTAAGTATAGAAAAATTCTGTCACTAATATTAGTGATTTCGTTATTGCTTTTAAAAAATAGTTATCATATTATATATTTAAAAATATATATATTCTGATATTCTGAAGTATTTCAAAATACTTGCAGGTAAAAATTAAATAAGAATAAAATTTGTTTCTTTAATAAAAGGGAATAAATTCATTCAAATTAAAACTAGAAAATATTTAAGAAAAAAACTACACAATATCTTGTGCCAATTGCTTAAGAAAAGAAGAAAGGAAGAACAAAAAGATGAAAGTCTAAAGTATTTCTAATATAAAAGACGACAAGCACAGAACAACTTTAAAACATGTTTTTAAATCAAAACAATCTACGCTATTATATTTCTTTCTGTTTCCGCCAGATTGTCCGTCCATTTATATCCGTCCATTCATCCATCTACTTGCCTTTTCCACTAGTCATCCAGTCACCCATTCACCCAACGCCCATCTGTTGGTCTCCGACTTAGTGTGTTCAGTGTGTTCACAACAATTGCATCGTTTGTGCGCTTTTGTTATTTAACTTTTATTTTCAGCTTTATTCTCATTGTTTTGACACAAGTATTTATTGTTGTTGCTATTGTTATTGCTAAAGTTGCTGCTTTAACGATTATTACAGACTTTGAGTATATAGGTTAGGTTGGATTGGTCGGTTGGTTGGTTGGCTGCTTTCACATTTCGAATAAAAGACACCCAAGGTAATAAATTTTCACCCATTAAATATTTTCTGAAGACTCCGAATAAACCTAAAATTGAGAAATAACTGCAGCATGAAGCATTAAGTTGAAAGTAATGACACAGGTATATACTTGTCTCTCAAGATAATATTTAAATCTCAACGGAATCGTCAGGAAAGTGAAAATTAAGTGTAAATCTTCCTATTGTTTTCTGTAACAAATGTTGAACTTTCATTGAAATTTTACAGAAATGACCAACTCAGCAATAAAGATATTGTTTAACGGATAATTGTGCCGGGAAAATAATAAAGGTTATGAGCAACTGAAAAGTTCTTAGAAGATAACAATTTCAATGAGCTGAACGAACAGAATACGAACAGAAAACTGCGATAAGAAAGTCAAAGTACAGGAAGAAATGTTTTTGCCTTTTTGAAACAAACAAATTTCCAGAAGAATTTATTTAAAATTAACACAAACGATATTTTGGTCAAACCTCAGTTGCTCTTGAATTTTACTAGAAAATATTTTAATTAGTGTTTTTTGAAGCTAATAAAATTTAAATTAGATTTTTCATTAATTTGCACAAATAACTATCAATAGGATATCATTTCACCATTTATTATTATTTTTAAAAAAAAGGAATGTGAACAATTCTCTGTAAACAGTTTTTAAAATTTTTATAAGTGTAGCACGATAAAATGACCAAAGTAACCGTTATTAAATTCAACGCATATAAGCCAGGCGCTTAACTCAATCCTAAATTGGTAGCTCAGATTCTTAACCACTGATAGCAATCTTTTAATTCTTTGACAGATGTTCCACAACCAACTCTAAACGTCTTAATCGAAATGATTATTTTCTGATGTGGACATTAGAACAGCCTCATATACTAATCTGTATTTTAATATTGATATGAGTGTAATTACTGAAGAAGTATGGATTCCTTCCTTAACAACTACATTACATTACTATATTATACAAATATTCAACTGCATAAACATTACAAAAATCAGTTTCTAGTATATCATACCCCTTGTATGTCATCCAATTTTGACTATGCCACGGAGCATAATATCTCTTCTACCTAATCGTAACTTAACTACTGTCATACTTTCTAGAGAAGACTAAATCAATGACAATGTTATTTCAAATGAGCACCTGACGGTTATAGAAATGACA